TCTTTTACAATGATAGACAAAAAAAAATTCTGAGGGAGGTTCGTAACTTCTTTTGGGAGGATCCACACGTGTTCAAGTACTATAAGGATCAAATCATTAGGCGTTACATCCCCGCTCATGAGAGCAAACAGGTAATATCATTTTGTCATTCTGAAGCATGTGGTGGCCATTTCTTATCAAGGAAAACTGCTGCGAAAATTTTGCAATGTGGATTTTATTGGCCCACACTTTTCAAAGATATTCATGTCTTTTGTCTAACATATGATAGATGTCAAAGGTTGGGAAACATTTCTAAAAGAAATATGATGCCCTTAAACCCCATCCTAGTGATTGAAATTTTTGACTATTGGGGCATCAATTTTATGAGACCATTTTCCCCTACTTTGGCTATCTATACATTTTAGTGGCTGTAGACTATGTGTCCAAATGGTTTGAAGCAATTCCATGCCGGAATAGTGATCACCAAACAGTGATCAAATTTTTAAAAGAAAATATTTTGTCCCGATTTGAAATTTCAAAATCCAACATAAGTGATGAGGGTGCTCATTTTTGCAATCGTCCTTTTTGGAATTTGATGAATACATACTTGATTTTTCACAAAATTGCAACCTCTTATCATCCATAGACTAGTTGACAGACTTAATTAGCTAATCGAGAGATCAAACTAATTTTAGAAAAAAGGTAAACCCAGACTGCAAAGATTGGTTGTCAAGACTAACTGATGCACTCTAGGCATATCGTACTACTTTTAAACAATTTTGGACATGTCTCCTTATCGATTAGTCTATGACAAGCCACCTACCTATGGAACTGGAACATAGAACATATTGGGCCATTAAAACAATGAACTTTGACCTGGACAAGGCTGGACTAGCAAAAAACCTCAGATTAACGAATTGAAGGAATTGAGAAATGAGGCATATGACAATGCAAAAATTGCAAAGGAAATGATGAAATCTTTCATGACAAAAACATAGTAAGAAAATCCTTTGCCCCTTCCCAAAAAGTCCTATTGTTTAATTCAAGACTCCGCCTATTTCTTGGTAAGTTGAGGTCAAAGTGGACCATGCCTTACATCATCAAAAAGTATTTGGACATGGAGTAGTAGAAATGGAAACCCATCGAACGATAATATCTTCACTGTCAATGGTCAGCAGTTGAAACCATTTTTGGAAGACTTTGTTAAAGATGTGAAAACCATTCTTGTAATGGATCCAGAATATTCCTCTGAGATTCATGCCTGCCGACAAAAAAAAGGGTTTGGTCACAAAATATTCAACCCAACCCGACCCGCTGGAACGCCTTTATAAGGCCTCCACCCCTTTTTCTCTTTTTCCCATCCACCGCTGTCCCTATCCCCTTTTTCTCTTTTTTCTTTCTCTTCTTTTTCTTCTTCTTCTTCTTCTTCTTCTTCTTCTTCTTCTTCTTCTTCTTCGTTTTCTTCTTTGTTCTCTCCACATCAATTCACTCTTTATAACTCCATGGACTCGGTCCTTTGTTTCATGATTTTCATTTTATGTCTGTATTTGCACATGGGTCTTTTTCTTCTATATGCACTTACAGAGAAGGGTTTTCAGCCTAACCAAAACCCTTATTTGAAAAATGATGATTAAATTGTGTATTTTCTTTGTAGGTTTGGGTAGATGAACAGATCTCTACTTCTCAAACCCTAACTCTATTTTGTGGTTATAAGTAAATTCGAAACCTTTAGGACAATGTTCAATTTAGGTTGGGGGGTGTGATCTATAGTTCTAGTTTGTTGCTTTCTTTTACTTCAATTGTTTGAGCTTCCTTCTTCCCTTAGAGGAGTGAAACTCTTTCACTTTTCTAGATCTTTACCAAAACTGTAAAGGGTGGAACATGATTCACTCATTCTTCATCAAAGATTGGCTCCTTGTTTAGTGTATTTTATTTTGTAATTCCTCTACTTGGAGGGATGAACATCACTCACTTTTTTAGCTTTACCAAAATCATGAAGAGTGAGTAGTTCCTCATTCACTCTTTTGTAAGAAGTGATGGACATATATAAATCGTTCGGATGTTATATTTGTGCAGTTTGTTTATACTTAATGCTTTATATTTCACCTGCTTATTGAATGATTGGATGCATCTAGCAAAACTAAGGTACTTTGCACAACCGTGGGTGCTTTCTATGACATAGATGACTCTTGCATAGAAAGACCCATTGGTTCTAGACAATTAACCCGGCTAGATCTTCATGACTACATTTCAATCTTCACCACTATTGTGCTTCATTTAAAGAATGGAATACCAACAAAATGGTTGAATGCCTTATGGAGACACTTGCTTGTTCGTAGACAGGTTGAGTATCGATACAGACAATTCTTCTAAACTTCTACAAAGAAATCGAAATCATGCTCTTAATTCTCACAATCCATCTTTATCTTCCAATTAACTTCATGTTGACACAGAGGTTAATTGAGTTACCAAGCACAAGTATAACAACCAGATGATTAACTACATGTCCAGATCCTCGAGCTAAAGGGTGACTTTTACATTTGAGAGAATCTTATATTTTGTCTAGAAAATCCTCTGCGTCAAAGATACAAACTACAGGGGAGCCAACTATCAAAGCTACAAACTAAAGAGGTGTCAACTATCAAAGCTACAAACTATAAGGGAGCCAACTGTCAAAGCTCAAAACAAAAGGGGATCAAAGTATAATTCAAACCTCCTAACAAGACTTTTTACCCTCCCTTGTTGCCTATAAATACCACCCCTTGGGCTTTTAAAAAATCATCTTTTGGTTGTGAAAAATCCTCCAAAAGTTACTATCTTTCTTTTACTGTATTATTGTTTTCTTTTACTTTATTATTGCTGTCTTTTACTTTATTATTTCTTTCTTTTAATTTATTGCTTTCTTTTACTTTAGTATTGCTTTTTTTTACTGTATTATTGCTTTCTTTTACTTCTATTATTTGAGCTTCCTTCTTCACTTAGAGGAGTGAAACTCTTCTGCTTTTTTAGAGCTTTACCAAAGTCGTGAAGGATGGAACGTGATTCCCCCATTCTTCGTCGAAGATCGGCTCCTTGTTTAGTGTATTTTATTTTGTAACTCCTCTACTAGGAGGGATGAACATCACTCACTTTTCTAAATGTACCAAAGCCATGAAGAGTGAGTAGTTCCTCGTTCACTCTTTAGTAAGAAGTGATGGACATGTATAAATCGTTCAGAAGTTATATTTGTGCAGTTTTTATGCTTTAATGTTTTATATTTCACTTGCTTATTGAATAATTGGATGCATCTAGCAAAGCTAAGGTACTTTGCACAACCGTGGATGCTTTCTATGACATAGATGACTCTTGCATAGAAAGACACATTAGTTCTAGGCAAGTACCCCGACTAGATCTTCATGACTACATTTCAATATTCACCATTATTGTGCTTCATTTAAAGAATGGAATACCAACGCAATGGTTGGATGCCTTGTAGTGACATTTGCTGGTTTGTAGATGGGTTGAGTCTCGGCACTGACAATTCTTGTAAACCTCTACAAAGATATCGAAATCATGCTCTTAATTCTCAAAATCCATTTTTATCTTTCGATTAACTTTACATTGACACGTGAGTTAATTGAGTTACCAAACACAAGTATAACAATCGAATGATTTGCTACATGTCCAAATCCTGGAGCTAAAGGGTGACTTTTACATTTGAGAGAATCTTATATTTTGTCTAGAAAATCCTCTTGGAAAGAATCCTATATTCTATCTAGGAAAAATCCATAAAGATCATCACTTTAAATCTCAAGGGTTCCAGTCACTTTGGTCTCTGTCACTACTTACTTCAAAACATCAACAATAGTTCCTTATGGATTCGACTCTGAATTTAACCGGATTATTACTACAACTTGACCGCCTGCACTTAAGTGTATACATTTTGGATCAAGTCTTGTTTTTGGCGCCAAAGACACAATTTTGCTTGCTCATGATATCATGCATTAAGAGAACAAATACATAATTAGGGCAATCAAAATCTTGGTATTCACAAGTAATCACATATTTACTATATAAATATTCCAAGGAGGACCCTAATTCCTAGTAGTTCTATCAAATTATAGCATAGCACGCCAAGTTCACCAGAAATAAGAGGCTTATAAGCATCAAAGTCACTCTTATTCACTATTTTACCATCTAAATAGTAGGAACTTATTGAAGCAGAGAGAAGAAGATTAGCCAACCTTCGCTTTTGCTTGCAACTTATCCATAAACACAACATACTGCTTCAATGTGTAATCTTTCGAATTTCCTAGAGCAGCCACAATCGCCTATTTACCAACTATGGGCAGATCCATGGTATAGAAGAGGGAGAGTCACTTGGGTGAGAATTTCACTGCATTGTCATTAACATGTTGCAATTTCTCTCTCTTTTGTCAATGAACCCAACATTCATAAAACAATAAAATGAACATATTTGTATTTCCAATAACACAAATTCAATAGAAACGGAAAACCCAACAAACACAAAAAATCCATCAAACTCAAACCAAACATAAAACCCAACAAGCAAAGATATTTAAATAACAAGAAAAGATACTAGTCAACAAACTCATGTAATATTTGAGCTACTATTCCATTTATTGACTCACCTAACCAAATGAAGATGCTCTAGAAAGACCTCGAAACTCTGTCTGGCACTGCCAGACTTCTTAACTTATTCCTCATCGATGATCAGTAAGAGTTTATATTATGAGTACTAGATGCATCAGGTACCTTTTAAGATTGCAAATACTTAATATTCATGGAGAAAAATAATACAATAATACAATAACTCTTCTAACTCAAAATATAACTCGCTGAAGTTGTTATTACCTTTTCAACCTAAAGTGGATCTGTATTTTTGTGAGCTGGTTCGGGAATAGGCATACCCATTGCACGCATTTGAACGATAAAAACCTTAAACTGTCTTTGTTGAGCCTCAAACTTAGCTTCCATCTGATTCATTTGCTTCTTCATTTGTGTCTGCTGAGCCTCCATCTCTAACGCTCTGCCTTATGTCTACTCAATTGCTCATCTAGTTGGGACTGCATTGCTTGCATCTCTTCTGATTTTTTACGTCCAAACACATATCTCGGAGATGGTCCAAAACCATATGTTCTAACACATCCTGGTCGCTCTGGTCCCATGACTTGAGTGAAAACTTCATCTGACATTTGTGATGGAAGTTCATCCATGTCTGACTGCAGCAAAAAATAATTTTAAATAAATATGAAACAAAGACGAAATAAGAATGGATAAATAGTGAACATCTTTCTTGCCAATATTACATACCAAGGCTTGTGCAACAACATCATTAACTGGTCGACCATCTTTCTTTGAATATGCAACCTTAAAAAATTTAATACGACTCATTTTCTTCCCATTATTCTTTTTGTTTTCCTACAGTTAAAAAAGACACAATAAATAAACTTGAATAAACTTTTTTTAAAAGACACATTTATTTTCTAACAAATCCTTTCCATAGCACATGCAAAGTTTCGGCCAGTGGTATGATGAAATTTTTTCTTGCTCCAAATGAGTTTGTTCCTCTTACTTTTTCCTATTATATGTCAAAAGCAATTATCATAAAAATTTGAAGAAAAAGAGCAATGACTTCTTTTAGAATTTACAAGATTTACACTTACATATTTGTACCTATGCCTTCGGAGTGTTCCAATAATAGACCAAAGCCCGCCAATGTGATTCCTCCACTCGGTCAAGCTTGTGAACTAATATTTCTACATTAGTTCTATAGGGATAATAAGCTTGTTTCTTAATCTCACACTTCCAATCTTTCCACTTCCTCCCTATAGACTTCATTAGATATCCTTTCATCCACTCTTTTGCATCCGTGCTTGCCTACAATTCCATTCAAAAATCACTAATAACATGCAAAAGCTATATACAATCACTTAGTAACTATAAAATAAATTCAAAAACTTTCCACCTTTATTTTATCCCATATTCTTTCTTTATACTCATTGGGAACAACATGCTACTCGTGCCAATTTAAGGGAGCATGGTCCCATTTCGAGCTAGCATGCCTAAACGAGATTGAAGTGGAGAAGTTTTTTCACCATTTTTCTTTAATTCATTTTCCTCAATGTGTAGCACATTGCCGCCATTCATCAAGGTAGGACCTCTAGTTCGTCTCTATATAGAATCCGAGGAATTGGAACCTACACTTAAAAAAAATTGTTGAGTGATTACAATATCATGTTTAGTGATAATTATTACTATCTACTCCTCCATTACTAAAATATACCGCCGTCATTGCGTGATTTATTGCCATCATCTTCTAGTGATTGGCCAAGAAATCTAAACAAGGAAAAAAGAGAGTTGGAAACTCGATTATCCTAGACCGTATTTTTGAATAATTAAGTACAATCAAATTCATGACATATCGGGTATATTTTTTAAAGGAAAAGTATATTTGTAAGACACCCCTTTTTATATAGGACGTGTAACTCTTTTATTAGTAAAATTGAAATCTGGATAAAAAAAATGGTTGGACAAGAAATCTAACCAAAATGCAGAAAATCACAGAGCAAAAAACGAGTTAAAACACACAAAAGACATGTAAATTACAAGATAGCAAAACAATGGAATTTAATAGTAAAGTTTAACATTAAAAAACGTGAGTTTAAACTAAACTATAATATAAACAATGAATAGAGATAAAATTAAAAATCACGTTACAAAGAAACATACGGTAAGGATGGTACAAAATTCAAAGAAGTAAAAGTGCAATTGATTCTTTGCAAATTGTACTGCTTTTATAAGCCTATTCTGAGCTTACCTTCCTCTTTTCAAACGAATATATACCAACAGCAATATAAGCTAACCTAAAACAAAAACAACCACACATGTCAGCCACTGTAGACAGTGGAAGAATCATGGTGATGAGTGTTCTAGAAAACATGTTTTTCACTAGATGCTTCAACACAAAGTCACTTATTTTCTGAGTCTTTGACTAAGGATGGTCTACCACATCACAAAAAGTTTTAGAGCATGTGGTGATTCCCAAATGTCTTAAAGCACTTATGTCCTACAAAAACATTATATGATGCACCACTCGAACACCATGTCCAATGACTGAAAAAAGCAAACTGATGTACTATTTGTTTCCAATTTTTAACTTTTCTAATCAATTCCTGAGATGGAGATAAAGAGAAAGTAAAGATACAAAAGGTACTTCTCGAAAGATACACAATATCGGACCAACAAAACCATACTTTATTGAGCACAGTTCAAAGTATCGGCCGAGTCCGATACGACTCGGCCGAGTCGTATCCGACTCGGCCATAGACGATACGATAACGGTACACGAATCGAAAGATTGACGAATTTAACTTGTATCGGCGATATCTCGACGATATCTCGGACGTCTCGGCCGAAATCAAATGTGTCGGTGGAAACTCGGTTCAACTCGGGCGACGCGATTCGGAATCCTTCCGAGTCGAACACGACAATAGAAAAATTCCAAAATCTGACCCACACCTCTGCAAAAGATTATCAACACTCCTTCATTTTTTTGAAAAAAGAACAAAAATCCAAAAAAAAAAAAAAAGGGGATGGGAAATAAAGCAGACCTACTGCCAGACTACCCATTGAAAAACTCAACACCCATGTGAAAATTGCAGAAATCAGATGAACCCCAAGGCTGCAAACCCCTATAAAAAATCAAGATTACTACCATACCTGTAAATCAAACCTTGAAGCATCTTCTTCATCTGATCTTGTGTGTCGTTCTTGTTCGATTCTTTGTTATGCTTGTTCAACTCTTTGTTGAGACGATTTTCTTCGGTCGCGAGGAACTGCACTGCATCTCTCTGTCTACGACTCTGGGTGACTCTGGGCAACTCTGGGCGACTCTGGGAAGTGAGAAAGACGAAGAACTTAAAATAGGTAGGAAAAAAAAATAATTTTTTATTTTTTACGGAATGTTTATATATTTATTTTTGCCTTAAAAGTAACATAAAAATAGTAGTTCAAATGGGTGGTGTTGCAAATTTAGCCGCAAGGTCTTTGGTTCGATTCCCTGCCTCACATGTAGTCTGGTTTGTTTTTTTAACCGAATATTTATATATTTATATTTGCCTTAAAAGTAACATAAAAATAGTGGTTCAAATGGGTGGTGTTGCAAATTTAGATGCAAGGTCCTTGGTTCGATTCCCTCCCGCAACATGTAGTCTAGTTTTTATTTTTTTTATTTTTTATAGAATATTTATATATTTATATTTGCCTTAAAAGTAACATAAAAATAGTGGTTCAAATGGGTGGTGTTGCAAATTTAGATGCAAGGTCCTTGGTTCGATTCCCTCCCGCAACATGTAGTCTAGTTTTTATATTATATGGAATTTTTATATATTTATATTTGCCTTAAAAGTAACATAAAAATAATAGTTCAAATGGGTGGTGTTGCAAATTTAGTTGCAATGTCCCTGGTTCGATTCCCTGCCTCACATGTAGTCTGGGTTGTTTTTTTTTTTTTAACTGAATATTTATATATTTATATTTGCCTTAAAAGTAACATAAAAATAGTGGTTCAAATGGGTGGTTTTGCAAATTTAGTTGCAATGTCCCTGGTTCGATTCCCTGCCTCACATGTAGTCTGGGTTTTTTTTTTTGTTTTAACCGAATATTTATATATTTATATTTGCCTTAAAAGTAACATAAAAATAGTGGTTCAAATGGGTGGTGTTGCAAATGTAGATGCAAGGTCCTTGGTTCGATTCCCTGCCGCAACATGTAGTCTAGTTTTTATTTTTTTAATTTTTTATGGAATGTTTATATATTTATATTTGCCTTAAAAGTAACATAAAAATAGTAGCTCAATTGGGTGATGCAAATTGTCATTTGCAGAACAGTGGTTCGACTCCTCCAAGACAAACATGCGTTTTTACATTATTGTCATAGTTAAATTACTTATTTATTGCATAAATATTAAAATTATTGTATTTTAATGATCAAAAAAATTATAACTTTAATGTAATAATTAGATACATCAATATTTTATAATAATAAATGAGTGGATATAATTTCCTTTTTTTTTATTTATAAAAAATATATGTTCTATTTCTAATTATATAAAATTAAATGTTACAATTACAATTTTTTTTATATTTAAACTATTTCAATCAATTGCATGTTACTTGTTTAATTATTTAGAATTTATGACATTTGTAGAATGGCTCCTAAAAAACACGACATTGGTTGGGAACACGCAACACCTGTTGGTAGTGATCGACGAATTACAAAGTGCAATTATTGTGGTAAAATAGTTCATGGTGGCATTACTCGAATGAAACAGCATATTGCACATGTATCCGGGCAGGTGGAAGGATGTCCACGTGCACCAAAAGAAGTGTCGCAATTCTTGAGACAACATCTTAGTGATTGTAGTAAAGAAAGGGCTTCTATAAAAAAGAAAAAAGAACGAATTATGCAATCATTACGAGATGAAGATTGTTACAACCTGGATGACGACGATGATGATGATGGTGAGAATCAAATTGAAGATGGTGATTTTGAAAGAAGACAGTTAAAGCATGCAATGAAGGAAAGTCGTCAAATGGCTTGGATGGAGGAAGAGGGTCGTAGGCATTCTGTATCAAATGCAAGCGGTCGATCATCACAACCATCAAGCTCAGGAATCAAGCGCGAACCACCACGTAGCTATAGCACAAAAGAAGGTGCAAGCATGCCTATAAGTGGCCTTGATCCGTACATGTTCCCGTCGAAACAAAAGTCAGTAAAAGGCATATTCTCAGGTGCGAACCTGAAAAAAGTGGGAAAAGCTATTTCAAAGTTCTTCCTCTTCAATGCCATACCATTCAATGCAGCTGATAGTGGGCCTTACTATCAGTCAATGATTGACACTATTGCGGATGCAGGCCCAGGTATAAAGGGTCCCACAGGATATCAAATTGGTAGTTCTTATTTGGAGGAGGAGGTTCAAGAGCTTGATGTGTACATATCTTCGATGAAGGTAAAATGGCCTCAGTATGGTTGCACAATCATGTCTGATGGGTGGAGTTCTAGAACAAAGAAATCCATTATCAATTTCATGATTTATTGTGACCGTAATATGATTTACCATACATCAATTGATACCACAAATATTTCAAAAACTGCTGACTATATTTTCTCTCTTATGGATAAAGTTGTTGATGAAATTGGAGAAGAAAATGTAGTACATGTAGTAACCGACAATGAGGCAAGCTTTAAAGCAGCTGGTAAGATGTTGATGGATAAAAGAAAACATTTATTTTGGTCTCCTTGTGCAGCTCATTGTATTGATTTGATGCTGGAAGATATTGGTCATATGAAAGCAATCAAGGAGACCATAGATGATGCTAAGACGATCACATCTTTTATCTACAACAGTCTCAAAGTGGTCAACTTAATGAAGCAACATACCCGAGATAGAGATTTATTGAGGCCAGGTATAACACGATTTGCCACTGAATTTATCGCCATTGAAAGTCTTATTCGTTATGAATCGGACTTGAAAAGAATGTGTACCACCGATGAATGGCGTGAGTTCAACAAAGACAAGACGAGGAGAAAAACAAGAGATATAGTCTCAAATCTTATTTTGACTGACCAATTTTGGAAGAAGGCTAGAGAAGTTCAATCTGTCATGGAGCCTCTTGTTAGAGTCTTAAAAATAGTTGATCAAGACAAAAAACCAACTTTATCAATTATCTATGAGGCAATGGACAGGGCTAAACTAGCCATACAACATTCAGTCAAAAATTGGAAGAAATACTGGGCTGTGATTGACAAAAGATGGGAGATCCAATTGCACAGACACTTACATGCAGCAGGTAAAAGTATTTAAAAATATAAATAGTTGATCATTGTGTATTAGCTTGTAAAATATTATAGTTTTTCACTAACTTACATTAAATTATCAAAAATTTTGCAGCTTATTTCTTAAATCCAGTTTTTCAGTATTCTAATCAATTTTCCAACCATCCTGAGGTAAGATCTGGTTTGAAAGAGGTTATTAAAAGATTGGAACCAGATTTGAATAAACAAGCAAGGGCAATGAATGAGGTATGACGATTTTTGATAATTTTTTATTATAATATGTGTATATATTTGTCGTTTACGTAATACATTACACAATAAATTGCAGATCAAATTATATACTGACAAACATGGCGAGTTTGGGAATGCACTCACTAGAAAAGCTGTACATGCCTCCCTTCCAGGTTTATTATTTAAACTATATGTATTTAGTAAAGTATCATTTGTTACTCTTATGGTCAATACTAATATTGTACAGTTTTTTTTTTTTGTAGCTGAATGGTGGATCAATTATGGTGAAGAAGCTCCCCATCTGCAAAAAATTGCAGTCAAAGTTTTAAGCCAAACATGTTCATCATCAGGGTGTGAAAGAAATTGGAGTACATGGTCGCTAATCCATACAAAACTTCGCAACCGATTGGCAATGAAAAAGCTACATAAGCTAGTTTTTGTGCACTACAATATGCGGTTGCGAGTTAAAAATTTGACATATCAGCGTGAAAATGATGATTTTTATAATCCAATTGATTTGAACTGTATTTTTAATGATGATGATATATTAGATGAGTGGATAAGAGAAGGGGAGGAATCAATTTTACCACCTGATAATTTAGGTTGGCTGGATGAAGGTATTCGTGACATTGAAGAAGGTGGAAGTGGACGAGATGTAGTTGATGAAGGTGACACTAATACGGCACCAACATCTAGCAATTATGCCACTACCAGAAGATCTGAAAAAGATACGAGGCCAACTAATAAGGGTAAAAAGGCTATGAGAATTTTTGTTAGTTCTAGTGATTCTTCTTCTGATGATGATAATGATAATAATGTTGCTGATACTTATGGTGGTGGTGGTGGTGATAGTAGTAGTACTGATGATGATGATGCTAGTAATCATGGTGGAGATAAAGATGAGAGCAACAAGAGTGATGGTGGAGGGACTACTGGAGATGGTAGTGATACTCAGCTACCTGGCGGTATGTCATGGGCACAGGGGCAAGACAATTACTATGCCACACAGGATACAGACCATGGATATAGACCAGGGGCAATGAAACAACGAAGGAATTTAAACTCTTCCATTGGTGATGATTATTCCCATAGACGCTACCATCATTCACTTAGTCGACAAGATATTGACGATCATATGCAGAATTTGGGATTGACATCATATGAAGGATACATGTCTTACGGACATCATCAAAGTAGTGGTATAGAATCTAGCTATTCACATGGATCATATGGATATGGTATCCCTTCGCAGCTTTCGAGGTCTACTAGTACTAATAGTGCTGGGCATTATGGCCATCGCCCTACGCATCTTGAGAGATCTACTAGTACTAGTACTGGTGGTTACTATGATCGTGTTCCAAGGAGACATCATGATGGATCTTCTAACACAACATCGGATAGTGTCAACTTTTATGGATATGATCAGTCTTCTGCTAGTAGTGGCCGTGAATATCGTGGTTTTGGGTACTATCAGTATGGGAACCAGCCAGTACAACCTCCACAGTCACACTACTCTGATTATGGGTCATCTAGTCAATCAATTCAACCAACCCAATCAGACCTGTATTCACACTTGTACTCTAATTCTTATGGTAGACAGTACCATAATTTGTATTATCCTAGAGACAATAACGACGATTTTGAACCTCATCGTCGTTCAATGTGGCAATGATTACAGCTCAATATGTTCCTAAATGTCTACATTGAACATTGATAATGATAATTATTTTCGCTCGTGATTTTATGTTTCATTTTAATTATGTTTAATGTGTTTTTAGATGTATTGTGGATATATGATGCATAAATGATAATGTCTATTTTTTTAGAATTTTTTTAAATTTTTTTGGAGCTTCTATCTTGCATTTTGAGCGTATCGTCCGATACCGCGCCGCGACGCCGCGACCGATGTGTATCAGTACCCTCCGAGTTCATGGCCGATACCGCTACTTTGAACCATGATTATTGAGTTAACTAATTATGTCGTGCACACAGAAATTCTATGCAAAAATTTTCTATATGGAAGGATGTGGCTCACCAGTCTCTTTATTCCACACTAAGAAATCATTAATTCTATGATATTTATAAAAATACAACAGCCACTTCACTCTGTAGTAATTCATGTGTGATGGACCACGTAGATCTATTCTTAGTCCTTGAGGCCATGATAGTTTAGGTAGATCTATTTACAGACCAAAGCATGTGTAAAGGTACTTACAGATCAGAGACGAACCTGAGAGAGAGCCGACGAGAAGGCATCTGCGAGAGGGACAACGAGGAGTCGCCGGATAGAGTGCCGTCGAGGAATTGCCGGAGATAAGGACGACGAGGAGTTACCTAAGAGAGTGACGACAAGGAATTGTCGCCTGAGACAGAGCCGACGAGGAGTCGTCGCCTGAGAGAGAGTGAAAGCAAGAAAGGTCGCCAAACGGCCGGTCCAGAGAGTGAATGTTAGAGGACGAAAATTAAGCGCAAAAAAAAAGGTTTTATTTTTATTAATAATTTGTGGTGTTTATAAACAAACGCCGGTTTTAGTGGCGCTTAGGTTAAATGCCTGAAATTAAATGCCAAATTTTTTCATAATTTTTGTAGTGACTTCTTAATTTATTTGAAGCGCATTGATTCTTTCAGGGTAAATGAAGATAAGTGAAAATGCATGTCAACCCAAATACTGATTCATTAAATACCAAATGAAGATTACATAACTAAGGCCCAGAGTTGGGTATTGCATAAACCCAACAGACTACTGCCTTATCGTTTTATTCAATTCCTCCCTACAGTCTACCAGATGACTCTTTTCTCCCAATCACTGAAGCAACTCCATGCTAGTTCAGCGGATCCTGCAAATCAAAAATCAATCTAGGGTCATTTGCGTATATTTATAATAAAGAGCAATTTTATTTCGTTTTCACCGAAACAACAATTATAAACGTGTTCAGTTTGGTGGAAATTAAAACGAATGAGTGATAAAAAATTTAGATTTTTGGACTAATTGAAATGACAAAATTTTGATCCTTGATTCAAAACGTGATTCAGGTGATATATTGCTGATGAAATATTGCTTACGTTTCACAGTTGATGCTCAATGAGACAGGGAATGTGACTTTGATCTTGCAAGCATCAGGGATTTTGCTCAAGAACTTGTCTTGTACACCATTAAATTTCTGAACACCAGCCTTCAGGCAACGGCAGATTGTCTTTTTATCGTCGACAGACTTCACGCTTTGAGTCAGCTGCTGGAGCCCGCTGCAGCAGGCTGCAGATGGCTTTGTGTCCTTGCCGGTGGCAAATGTGACACACGAGGCAGCCTTCACGTCAACTGTACCACATGTTATGGCCGCCTCGCTTACATGAGCAAGGAAGAATAGGAAGGAAAGGAGAAAAACCATGGAAAAGAAAAGGTTCTTCATGGTTGAATGTCAAAGGAACGGTATTAACTAACTCAAAAAACTTCTTTCTTGTGCTTTGCTCTTTGGAGACAATATGGTGGGTGTTAAATGGTGGAGGTTGGTTGGGTTTATATAGGGAAGGATTAGGTCATGAGGCCATTGGAGTGTGAGAAAATTGGGCTTCCCAATGAGATTGGATAGATAAAGTCTGCAGATAATTTCGATGGGTTCGATGACACAAAGGGAAATGTTGTTTGCACATGAAGCCTGGTTTTCTTAGATGTGATAGGTGTCTGGGAGAAAGAAATTTTTGGGAGTTGCAAAAGCTATAATTAGAGCATTTTGAAGAGAGTAACTAAAGTACATAAAAATTTTAAAATAGCTATTTTACTCCAAACTTTCATTCCATACGAATATCTCCAAAGCATCTAAGAATATATTTAATAAGGTTTTACATTTTAACTATATAAAAGTATAATTTTTTTATTTTAACTAGTTACTTTTTTAATATATACTCCAATAAATTTTTTATATTTTAATTGCTTCTTTTAAATATTATTTCTCATAATTGTACCTTTATTATAGATGTTGGAGAGAGAGAAAGAAAAGAATAGAGGAAAAAAATAAAGAGCGGACAAAAAATGTGAAAAATGATAAGAGGAGAAAGAATATATTATAAATTATTTATAAATAATATTATAATGACACTCTATATTTAGAGCAAAACTAGAACAAAATTATATTTTACTTAATCTTGACATCTTTTGTTGGAACATGGTTTTTATTTTTAAATAACTAAATTTTAGTTTTTTAAAAGTTTTATTCATTCTCTTTTAGATACTCTAAAATAACATTTTGTTATAGTGATACTCTATATTTAGAGTATCACTGTAACAACATGTATAAATAATTTATAATATTTTTTCTCTCCTCTTTTCTTTTCCTCCTTTTCTCTCTTTCTCCCTTTAACTATTCTCAAAGAAAAATAATGCAAAAAGAATGAGAAATAATATTTAAAGGAAATAGTTAAAAATATAAAAAATTTATTGGATTGTGTATTGAAAATTTGAGTAGCTAAAATAAAAAATGTTGTTTTTTGAGTAGCGAAACTAACTTTTATTGCTGGAGATACTCTTAGGTGTTTGTGGCATGTTATTTTATTTAAAGGATAATTATATATGCACCAAATTTGTGTACTAAAAGTACGCACCAAATTAATGCCCACTTTTGATACACAAATTTGGTGTGCATAGAGTCACTCTTTTTTTAAGGTGTATAGTTGTCGGGTTATAGCTGATGAGAAGCATACATTTGTCCTAATTCATCTACATACTTTATATTTGTCCAAAAAATAAGTCTGCATACTTTATAGACCCAATTTTCTGTTGGATTAGCGTTGATATTGGATCGTGTTCAATGTCAATTCAATAGTAATTGTGTATTGAATTAATATAACTTATCAGTAAATGTGATATATTAATTCCTGCTTTCTCCTTAAAGTTCCAATTGCAAAAATCAAGCCCGTTGAAATTTAATTGTGTTTTAATTTAGTCATTACATTAAACTCGCCCCAATTTATTATGATAAAATGCCCTTCCATGATTAACACATCACTTGGGTTAAAGGTATATGTCTGGTGAAAAATATTTTTCGTATGAGCTATGAAATCTTACTTTATTTTATCTAATTTGGAGAAAAAAAAATAAAAAAAAAACTTGAAAAATAAAATACAAAGTGAGAATTTGATACTGTGAGACAGAGAGAAATACCAATGTATTTGAGAGATATATTTTTTGTTGAATAAATATACCATTATGGGCAAGTCCTATTTTTTTTTAATATTTTTTTTTTTTGAAAAAGGGGGACTTAAACCTTTAACTTCAAGAAGACAAAATTTTCACAAGTCAAAGAGTACTATTAGATGAAAGTTCCATTCTTCTATCAGAATAAATAATAGATCTAGATGAAAAGATTAGATAGAAACTCGTTTAAAATTGTAAGAATGTAATTGTTTAAATTAAAAATTTAAAGACCAAATCAAAATTATTCGCATATTTTAAGGGTTTAAATAATAAATTACCTCTTGTTGATTTGCACAACAGACAATTAACACATCCAATATTGGACGAATAAGAAGTAGCAGCAGCTCACAAGCTAGCCAGCCCATGCTGCCAATGACCCATCCCGAGCTAGCTACGGGCCAGGATACAGTCCCGGACCCGGCAGGTTCCCATTCTCTCGTTTTACATTTTTAAGATTCATAAAATATGCCTCCATAGTTTAATCATTTGAGTAACCCCTCACAGAATTTGGATAAATTGAGCAGAATTTGCATCGTCCACAAAGCATCAACTTTGTTTATTAGATTTTAATTATTGTCATTGTGAAAGAGAATGACAACCAAAATGGTTCAAGGTCGCACACGCTATATACTTGCCTATAGTGAGCAAGTAGCTGGCAGTCCTATCATCATTTTATTAGGGAATTAATTTCCGAATTCGAGCTCATTACATACATATTCAATAATGTTACACACATCACCTTTCTGCACCATTTTTGTGTACTACCTCAATATGAATCATTAAATTAGTGAGTTCCATTGAATTCATTAGATATTTAAAAGTTAAGATCGTGTCACATTAGTTAGTATAGATAAGGTGAGATACAAAGATGATGCACATATTATTATTATTAAGTATTATTTATATTAGTGAGCACTTATTGGATCAACTCCAACCTCGAGCTTGCCAGTTCTACATATGACTTTGTCCTTGATTTTAAAGTGGAGTATTTGTTTCTGTACGCTTTGCTATTATGAGGAAAAAATTAAAAAGAAACTGAAAAATAGATATACATTCTTAGTTAGGCTTCTGAACCGGCTAAAATTTATATATAAAAAAAAACTAGTGGTGAGGTTTATGGCCCCATTACTCCTCTCTAACTTTTTTTTTATCGCGTCCTCAGTAACCTTTTTTTTTTTTATCACGTCCTCAGTAATTGACTGATAGTGATATCAGCTACCACATGTTTAAATCTTAAATAAAAATAACGTTATGACTAATTAGGGAGTTTAATTGTTGGTTCAGACATATTTGGGGTCTAATATTTTGGATGAAAATTGTCACAAAAACTGACGAAAGCCCAAAATAAGTTTTGTTTGGTACAATAGAAAATAAAAAGTTAGAGGGATAGAAAGTTAGAAAGATAGATAAAATATCATATTTTGTAAGAAAGGAAAATAGGAAGATGAAAAAGTTGATGGATTAACTTTTCTTTCAACTCACCAAAATTAATTCCTCCAAAATTACGAGGAAAAGTGGATGAAAAGTTAATTAACTTAGTTGAAATGTATTTTATTACTTATATATCCTTTAATATAGGCATATATCATATTTATTTATTACATATTATATATCTATTAAATTTATATATATATATATATATATATATATATATATATATATATAATGATAAAATATGTATCCATATTTTTTTCATCCTACCAAACACAAAAAAAATCAATGTTGCATACTTTCTATCCCTCCTACCAAACACAAAGGAGAGAAGAAATGATTTTTCCCTTGAAGCATAAAAAGTGTATTACTTATATTTTTTATCCTTCCATTTTTTCATTCACCCCACCAAACATACTAATGATGCACAAATTTAATTATGCACAATCTAATCAGTTGAGTGTATGGTGTAAAACAATTAATAAGACAAATCAATAATAAGAGACAAATATTAGGTGGTTGGATCTATGTGACCTAACCACTGAAAGCGGCAATTGTAACCGAAAATTTTTATTAATTAGAGACTACAAGGTAGTCAGAGAGAGAGAGAGACTAAGCTCAAAGTGAAGTGTGTGAGATCTGCCTCCATATATGGGGGAGGTTTACAATTTATAAGTAAAGAGCTCTAGCTATGACGGTGACGTGAAGGTCAACTACTAATTTATTTGGAAGGGATAGTTACACTTGGGAATAGACATTATCTTTGAGTAACGGCTATCCCAATAATTGTTCTCTGTCGTGTGTTGACTTTTTCTGGACTCTTGAGTCTTGGATTGGACTGAGGTCACAAGCTAAGTCAAGTCTACCGTTTAATGATTTAGACTCAACCCATAAACCGGGACGCAGACCTAGTCTGGATCTAGCCTCGTCACATACCATAAGACATGTTGCATCGCTAGAGGGACCAATTAAGATAATTTCTTTTGAGTAAAAAAAATAATTTGTCTTTATCTCGCTTATTTTAACTTGGTCTTTAAACTTTGTTTTGGTTCAGTTTGAGTCTGTAACGAGATTGTCTCAATTTCAATCTTTTTACTTTTCTAGGAAATAAATTATACCATCGACCTCCTATACTTAATATAATACATTAACGGGTGGTTTGGTCACAATATTTGTTTTATTTTTTTATTTTTTTTGTGGTGGAGAGGGGAGGGGGAAAGAGACTTAAACCCTTGATCTCAATAAGGCAAAACCTTCACAAGGTAAGGAGTACCATTAAACCAAAAGCTCATTGGTATTTGATTATAGTATTAAAGGATGGATTATAGAGTCATAAAAGATTAATATTCTCTAATCTAACCTTATATTGCATTTGGTTCCAAAAAATATGCCGCATTGAATATAGTCTTATTTCAAATACTTATCTAAATAATATATTATATTCATACTATTGAACTAATTATAATACCACCTCAGGTGATATTATAGTCCAACTCAAGCGTATTAAATTATAAATTTATTATTTTACACAACAAATAAACAAAAACATTAATAAATAGATAAGATTGATGTTTTTTAGTCAATATGTAATTGTTACCCTATTATTCCACTTTTTAATCTAGTGTTTTACCAAATATTGATACAATGCGTAATATTTTTGTTCTATGTTTAATCTTATATTTTATCCGCTAACTTGTACTACCTAATGCAATACATAACTACACCTAAATATTGTCATGTTAGACCATCTCCAATCCTTATCCTTTTTTAAACCCTTTTTTAAAAAAT